CTGCCTACAATTGTATTGTTGGTTATTTCTTCTGTCCACTCGTATTTTGAAATTGTGATGTTCTGTTTATTATGTAATCTTATTCATTGTTTGTGTCATAAATTCAACCCTTTATCAGTATTGTTGAGTTTTGTTACATCTTGCTTTAAAGGCACGTATCATTTTCTTGATTGAATACGGATAAACCTCTTTGATTTTAAATTCAGTGGAGAACCAAAGTCAAACTCCAAGTGCACACATCACAGATGATGGGAATTACTGTAAATTGTTTACTTTTGTGCGCTATTCAAATTTTTATGCGATTTGATGATTTAAAGAGGGGGAGTCGTCACCTGCGCATGCGTCAGATGGTCATAGCGTGTCATTGTTTACAAACAAGCATCTACCCATGAGCCCTTGCGTTTTCAGCGTGTGTTGTCGCTTGGAACTCAATTCAGGAAAGTCTATTTTACTTTATGACATTCTACTAAAATTTGTACTTCAATAACACTTTGCCATTTTCACTGACTCGCATGATTCACCAAATTAAAGCATTTTACAGTAACTTTCTGCTGGACCACAAGACATTGGCGGTTTGAGAGAGAACATTTTTTAATTTGTGGAACAACCCATTCCATATCAAAAAAAGTAGGGGTGACTTGATTTCAAAAGTTTATCTCAAAATGGCCATCATTGAAACATACCAGGAAAAGAAAAAAAATTAAAATCACTAGTTACCATGGAAATAAATCTAGCTCCCTGTTTTGTTCAAGAAATTTTTTCAGTCTTTGCACGTTTGTGCTGGCTTCCAACATGTAGGCCAATGAAATCTTCAGAAATGTTTGGTCAAAACCTGTAATACAGATTTGTGTCCAAAATGAACATTTAACAAACCACAGTCCCCTCCACACCTGGTTAGGAAACGCTCCGAATTCTATTGTCACAATGCGTGTTTCGCATTCGTAAAATTAGCCTACCGGTAATCCCCACACTGTCTACATTAACATAAAATTAGCATATAGTATGACATCATTTTCACTCAGAATACCTCGCAATTCATTTCTGCGCAGGCGTACACAACTTTATTTTCACGTTTCACTGCTGTGAAAATTTCAACTTTCTGACTTCTGAGCATTTTATTTTAACAAAATGCGGGGAAAACACGACGATTTCGTCGACAGTGATATTGAATGGGATGACATAATGAAAGAAGGACCCCGGTATTTAGATGCAGGTTATATGCATCGTCGTCACCACCGTCGTCGTGTATGGCTTCAAACAAGACTGAATTTTTAACTGGAAAAAAAACGAATGAAAAAATAAGAGAACAGCAATGGAAATAATATTTGCCATTTTTTAGGATATCTAACCTCCAAACTGTACTAACTATATGATAGTATAAACTGAAATGTGCATATACGAAGGTCGATACAATCGGATACTGAGCATAACGGCGACAATAGTAGGTATCGAAAATAAATGACTGAAATGAACACCTTCCCGGCACTAAAAATATTGTCCAAAAATTAAAGTATCAAATCACAAATTGATAACGACTGTGATTGTTTTGGGGGTGGTAACGCGATTCACCAGGGTTGAAACGTTCGTGGTATTATTGCCATAACGCATACAGTAATAATGAATGAACATGGTAGCTACAGTTTGAAATCAAGATCTTTTTTTTTCGTTATCTATAATGAATACGGATTTAAAATACATGTGCCTTTTCCCGAAACCGATATGATCACACAGAGATTTGTAACTTTAAATAAAATTTACTGAATTTGCTCAAAAACATGCAAGATTTGTCGACGTACACTGAACAGATGTGCTTTGAACGAGCTCCGAAATAATTCTATGACGTCACCGCTCTCTCCCCACAAGCGAAACACGCACTGTACCTGGGACTCGGGCGATTCACACCTTAGAACAATAGTGTTTCCTAACCGGGTGTTGAGGGACTATGAACATACATTTTCAGAAAATTACAGAAATAAATTGTCATCACAATTTGTCAAGAAAAATTATGTTAGTGTACTGGTTAAAACTGTATTGTGAAGTACTGGACATGGTATTTTGTAATTACTGTAGATAAAGAAAATCTTTAGTTAATATAATATGAGTATTAGAGGCATAGAAACCAGGCGTACTTGAATATGCTTAATCACCAGCCAGAGAGTTGAGTGAAAATTATCAGTATATTCATCATTATACTTTTATAAACATTGTTGATATTAGGAATTAAATACTCAAATAATATGAATTATGGATAAAGTCATATATATAGAAAATTAGCTTTAGAGTCGCCCTTATATATCATGTGACACTACGCTGATTATCGTGAGTGTGGTATGCGTATGACAGGTAATAAAAATAATTAGATTTGCAGCAATTATCTAATACTGGTTAGAGAGTGACTTTACTCTGATATGAACAAGTCTTGTCAACCGTGTCCCGCTATTCCATGGTGAATATAGCAGACATGACAAATGACCAGAACGCAGAAACAACTCCCCGAACAAGGATCTGTCTTGAAAGCAGTTAGTCGTGCAATATCTGCTGGCTGGCTCGCTCTCGTAGTTGTGATAAATGATGGAATTCTAATCACGACCCTCTTCCAATCATAGCTCCTCGGGGCATGTTGGGACAACAGAGAAATGCTTTTAAACTTACTCTGTGACTAAAATACTGGCGAAGAACTGATAAGAGTGTTACCATGGTAACCATTATTGCAGGAGTACAGGATGAGTTTGAAGGGGGGGGGGGTCTGTGTTTTCTTCATCTGAGTATATGAGTTGGAATACTTGCATATATACATTGTATATATATATATATATATATATATATATATATATATATATATATATATGGGCATCTTTAATCGTCAACCACAACTTTTATGGATAAAATAAAAGATGAGCAGTAATATTATTCAGATTCTGGTCCTTGTGGGATGAAGCAAAATATTACATTAAATTGTGACTTTACTGGAGTTGCACTGTATTAACTCCCTTTTCCTCCCCTTCTTATTTGACAAATAACACTAGAAGGAATAAAAAATAGGAAAACACTTTCCTGAGCTTAAGCATTGACTATCCTATTCCATAGACCTAACCTGGCTTGGAACATCTTTTTTTACATGACACTGTATAAGGCACTGGAGTTGCAATCAGAATTTTGCCACGGGATAATATGTAGATTATCATTGCCTTAATAAGATAATATTTCCCTATGGAGTTTGAGCTCTCTTTCTGTAATTCCCCCGTTGCAGCAATGTTTGTACTGTTACTCAGATGGTATTTAGGAGTACAATTTGCGAAATGACTTCAGAATGAATGATTATGAGGCGTCATATTTCTCTTCCCATTGGAGAATAATACTCATTGAATCTGAATATAATGTATTATGATTTACTTATTTCATCCTTTTTTTTATTTTTAATATGAATCCATTTTTAGCTTCTTTTTTGTTTTCTTTTCTTTTCAGATGCTGAAATCTCGCGACTCCGAGCGGAAAATCAAGCCCTGGCAGACGAGTTGGCACAGTGTCAGGTATGCATACAAGATTATCACATCAGTTGTAATCTTCTTATTGAAAAGGTGAAATCAGAGACGCAAATATAATGACAACACTGAAAACACAGTAATTATTCCGTCGGTTTGGGAATTCAAAATACCCATCATGCCACGTGGTATGAATATAATCCTTCATGCTTTTTCAAAACAACTTTATCGTTTTCTGCGACAAAAAATTGTTGTTAAATTTGTCATTTATCCCAGAATATTTTTGAAATAATGTGAGTGAAATTGAAATTTTTGCTATCTGCTTTTGTCAGGATTTGATAATTTGAGGAGTACTGGTACATGTATCAGTAGTAAATTTTGCTAAAGTCACGGTGTTTGGCTCTCAAAAAACAGTGGTGTACTGTACTTTTGGATTTTGTACAAAGCTGTTAATCCTTGAGATTGCAACTCAATTATTCAAACATTATTTTCTCACATTCCTGGCCACTGGGGTGGCTGATCTGCACTGGCTCGGAAGATGAATTCTGATTGGCTAAAAAAACAAAAAAAACTTGTGGCGTTGAATGCACGTTCATTGTCAGTATTGTTATGCAAATTCAAACTAGCTAATCATTTACAACCTTCCGAGCCAGTGCAGATTAGCCCCACTGGGGGTTTGCATGGGTATGGGATCATATTGTTTCCACATCCATGCATGTAACCATTGTGTGATTGTGTTGGATTAGCAGTTGTTGGATAATATCGTTTTCACATCCATAGCCATTGGGTGATTATATGGGATCACCGG